AAAAGATGATGGAAATGAAGAGCCAAGAGACAGAACAAGTGACAAATATGAAAAGAATGCTCGAAAAAAAAGAAAATCAATCTGGAGAAAGAAAAAATAAGCCAGGCAAACCTACTGGCAAATCCTACCATAATGGTAATTGGATAATGGTCATGGGACTGTGATGGATTCCAAGAAATAAACAAGGGGAGCAGTCACCATGGAAGGAATTAGTGCATACTTCATCACAAGGGAGAGCTCCAACTGAGTTGTGATAAACAATCTGCAATGAGAAGCAACACACCCAGAATATGAGAAGTCAGCACAAGAATTTGAAGGCTGTGGTCCAACACAAGAGGACCAGTGGTCTACACTAGAAGTCACTTAACTAAGTGCTCACTTGCCTGAAGATGTAGATGACTAGTCGAAAAAGACTACCACTACCACTGTACGGCTGGAAGGAAGTGAACCAGAGCTCAAACTTCTAAAAGCTCAGAGGGCTCCAAGAGAGATCACCAACCCGACTCCTACCAAGCATAAAGAAAAAAAGGAGATATTATGGACTCTGAGGAAGAACACCCAAAAAGGAGTTTACCCAATCCAGCCAACCAAGCTAAATCAGGAAAAAAGGATGAAAGGAGGCATCTCTGGACCAGCAAACACACAGAAGACATCATCAGAGGATGTGACCAACATGAGAAGCTCATGTGCTGAAATGAGAGAGAACCTTGTGCAAAATGGGTGAAGTAGAGGAGGAGAGGCTGCAAACTAGAATTGTCCTAGCCATAAACCAAAAAGAGGGAAGACTAGGCCCAATTGAGTGGGAATTAAAACAACATCCCAAGATGTACGAAGTATTATGTGAGGGTGAAAAAAAAAACGTTTCCATGTTAACCAACCCGAGCCTCTATTCCTAGAAGAAATGAGTAAAAAAAGGCAGGATCAGTTGATGAGGTAGCCAAACATAATTGCCATGATGGAAATGACTGCCCCTGAAAAGTAACAAGATGGGCAAAAAGCTGGACTATCCAAATTATTAGGAGTCAAGAAGATGTCCAACAGAGAAGACTGGACTGAAAACACACAACCAATATGGAGCCAAAGAAAAAAAGCAGAATGCAGGGGAGAAGTTAATGAGGAGGAATGCATCTGACACAACACCCTCATCCTCCACAAACCAAGAGGGAAAACCCAACCAAAGTCTAATTATGACCCTATGGTAAAATGTAGAAGGACTAATAAATGGTTCAAACCAACTGAGTGATGATTGAGCACCAGTCCCTTAATTTCAAGGGGACAACAAACAGACAGTAATAAGAACCCCAAATATAAGGATCTCCCTGTATGATGGCATCCTTACAAAACAAATCCCAAACCACCTCTTAAAAACTCTGGCAGGAAACAGAAACCCAAGGAGGAGGGAAATTCCAAACAGGACCAGACCAAATGCAATCACCTCAGAACCCAAGGATCTGTGAGAGAAATTATCTCCAAACTTGGACAAAGCAGTTCAACACATTGTTGTACCATGTCTTATAGAGAAATAATATGTGTGTATATTGTAGAGAAAAGCCACATTGGACCAATTGCCATTTCCACCTTGTGGAATCAATCTCAAAACCCTAGTGATGGAAGTCCATATAAATAATGTTATCCCACCAAATACCCCAAAGCCACTAAGACTGGCAGTTGCCCTGAAAACAGCACCCCATGGACTGACAATGAGCTGCAAACATTCAGGAAGTCATACTCAAAAACCAAAGTTAGGGATTCAATTCCCACAAAGAAACAAGCTACATCAAACTCTGCAAACCTAAGTAGTAGTAGTAATGGAGTAGTGTTGTAATCCTATTGGTGCATGTCAGTGTGCAGATGTCTCACGTTAACATATGTGAGGGTAAATGGGAATATTAAGGCTAGTAGTGAGTGAAAATTAACATTTTCTTAAATCGAAAATGTATTTTCAATAATACTTACCTCCTTTCACACTATAGCTATTACTCAACTGCTAAGGTTTCTCTTCCTTTACCTATCTAAGCATTTTTCTCACCTGCTCCAGTCTTTTATTCCCCACTTAATTACTGTTGTCAATATCTGTTTTGTGACACTATTCACATACACCAATGCATCCTCTATCTTGGTACTGTATATAAGCACCTCCTTCTGATAATATTGTCACTTTCTTTGAGAATGATCCAAACCAGTCTCCAACACTGGCTCTTAGTGGGGAGAAAGAGCAGGAGAGTGAGAGAGAGAGAGAAGGTAAGTACTATTGGAAATACATTTTCGATATAAGAAAATAATAACTTCCAAAACATACTTACCTCTACTCACACTTATAGCTAGAATCCCACATTGAAAAGATGGAGGAGCCAGTGAGGGCATTATTCATTCAGAATGCACCTGCATATATCACGGGTGTGCCAACAGAGGATTGGCACCCTAGTGGGGGGAACCAAACTACATCCAAAACAGGTATGCTCTTCACCCAGAACCTAAATCATGCACTGCAAGTGGAATTTGAGAAGATTTGTCATTACTATTGGCTAGGCCCCAGCCAGGTAGCCGAGGTCTTACTGCTTGGGGTTGGAATTATAGGGCCATGGCCCCTAAATCCCATACTGGTGGCTTAGGCCCCCAGAATTATGAGTACGATATGGAACAAACAGTGCTAAACCAAGGACCCAGGATGGGGCCACTCTGAGTTTGGAATTACAAGGAAACAATGGACCCTTTTCCATGAACAATGTACAAAACCAATATTGATTAAAATGAAGGGCCACACTCAACCCAACTGGATAGCTGAGCATCAAATCTGAACAAGTATTACAAGTAGGTTCCTGGGTAGGCTGGTGCCTCTCCTAACAACATCTTGGGGAAAAAAAACATCCAGGGTCCCAGGGAGGAGACGGGCCCTTAACTTCACCCTCTTCTCAAAGAGTGGAGGAAAAATCACTTGAACACTCTGGAAGAATAACCTTTGTCCACCACTCAAGTGATTGAAACTCTACTAGTAGAATACAGGGGGTTGCACACTGGAAACAGTATAATAGGTGGACCAAGTTTCCTAAATTTTTAAAGCAATTTATTCAATCCAATGATTGGCAGGATCCCCTTATACTTTACTTGTGACAGTCCATGAGTGGTGGTCCAACATAGTACAATAATCCAGGCTGCCTCTAGGTGGTCTTATCAAACACCTCATTTCTACAGAGCCTGTTGCAACCTATATGAAGTACATTGTGTTAGTGGTTGCTAGTGCAAATTTGGTTTGATAATAGTACACCCGCCTGGGAAACACTCACCACAGAATGGGATCCTGTGAAAAAATGGTAAGAGACCCTGGAAACAAAAGAAGAGATGATATCAGTAACAAAAATACTCACCCCTCTTTATAATCTAGCAGATGTAGTTAACCCTATCGCAACTGGTCACGTGTCAGAATTTTATTGAACTACTATTTTCTGAATTTATGTCAGTAAGATTGGGATGAAATTGTAGATTATAATTCAAATTTAAGTATTATACATTAGTTAATTTCTTAAAAGTAAATATTAAAAAATCACAGCTAAACATCAATTTGTGTGTCACGTGGTATGTTCAAATTAGATGTTTGTGATGTCAAAATACAAAGTATATAGTTTCATACAAATTAGGAACTCAAACTACCTATATTTACAAGCTAGAATATAAAAAAAGAACTTCTTATCTTTTCTATTTGCCAAGATATCGCTCATGTACTGAATCAAACACAGTGGCCCCAACCCATCTCTTTCCATTTTTTGGAAATGCTCCCTTATATACACTTACTTCTATACATGACATGAATAACCAATCAAAAACTCAGAATGTCCCCCTAGTGGTTTTCTCAGCCATTTTAATGTGTTATTATGCTAATCTCATTCTTCTCACACAAGATTTCAAACAATAAGGTTTGCTTTTAGTGAGCTTGAAATTTATTATTTTTAGACCCAAATACAGCTTAGTTACTATGCTTGATAAATTATAGTGGAATTCTATGGTATCGATATAGTAATTTATAACTTTTTTGGTTATTTAAAATGTATATATAAAACCTAAAAAAATGTTCTTTTCACATCCTCCATATGGGAAATTTCATAAGGCTAAACAACCTACGACAAGCAGCAAACGAGTACAAAGGTCATAGCTAGAAGAGATAATTATTTGCTTTACTTCTTTATGTACTGTTTTATGTTTTAAGAAAAATAAGTTTAAGAAATTATTTGTAAATAGTATTAATGTATATTGTACCTCACTCTTGGGCTTCTGAATTTCAAAATGTAATGGAATACTCCACTACCTACCAAAATACTTTTTTTTTTTATTAAGTCTGAGATTGTTGGTTAAAACGTTTTGTATTAATTTATTGTGAATATGTTTTAATGCCATTGCATATATAAAGAAATGAATTACTCTGGATACATTAAGACCCAACAGAACAATAGAATTCTTTGAATCTGTTACAGCTCAAGCACAGCAGGAAAATTTGTTTCCAAGATTTATACAGTATATGTAATAAATACATTAAATAAATAAAAAATAATTAATAGTATTAATAAAAATTTTGATAATCCTACTGTGGCTTTAACTACTTGTATTCCAAAGAACAAAAATTTTTGATATGTGTTATCCTTTCTATGCAAAATGTTGTTTGTTCTCTAGCAATTTTTGAAAAGACTGTTTCAGCAGCTTAAAAGAAGTTACATGTTTGCTATCACTTAAAACAGTATCATAGTTTTTGCAAAATTACTTGTGAAATTTGCCCTTTATTCATATAAATACATTGAATACAGTGTTGGAATACTTTTAAATAGATAGATATACAATGTATATAAACTCACCTTTTGGTCCAACTTTTTGCTTTCTACATCAGTGACTTCTCCTCTAAAAACATAGGCATAGGTTTTGTTCAAGTAATCTAAATCACCCTTAACAGGGTTGCCTTTCACTTCCATGGTGTAAAATAAGTTGTCTGGTGGGATATCTACAGGTGTATTATTATGTGAGATAGGTTTAACAGCAACAAACACTACCTCTGTGTCTTCACCTCCATACCTGATTATAGCTCCTACTACTAGACCTACACATTAAAAAGAATGCAAGCATGTTAACATCAAAATACACATACCGAAATGTTTTTCTACTGTTAAATAAAGATTGAGACTTATTAAAAAAAAAAAATTTTTTACAGTGATTTTTGAAAATAAAACACTTCTTAGAATTTACATGCATCTTAAACTCATTCAAAACTAAAGTATGGAACAGTAAAATCCAAATAAATACAAAAATCTTAGCTTTGCACAAGAATAGCTCATATACATGGCTGCATGTGTAAGTTCATACCAAACACTACATGTATATTTTAATCATTCCATGTCAGTTCAATCAATATCTTGTATATTTCACACTACACCCTCTCAGATGTTACTGCATTTTGCATCCTTGTACTTTGTTTTATTAATAACAACTGTGACAACTTCAGCATCTTAAACCCATTAATAAAATGGCCATAATTGTCCAAGATAGTGTGGGTTGCCAAATATGTTAATTTATGTTATCTATTAACATTTGATGTACCTAGAAGTAATTTTGTCCTAAAAACTCCAAAGTGTATAAATTTTCATAGTCTTCAAGCAAAAATTAGTTTCACATAATTCTCCATGCCTTTATCCATAACATAATCAGAAAAACAGAAAGCAAACAATGGGAACTAGAAGGCCACTCAGTAAAGTGCATACCTCCACCATGCAGCATTGATCATATTCAGCCCTCAAAAACATGAAAACATCCATAGGTCCATTGTTGTGAACAGACACAGACCATTTTTGTGCAGTACAGTGAACAATAATATTCTACAAAAGTCCACCAATTTTCATCAAAATCTGATCATTTTTGACTGAGTTAGAGCAAAGCAGTGTGAAAAATCAGTCCCTACATTAACAGAGAGGAATTTTTTTATTTTTGCGATCATGACCCTCCAAAGACTAATCACTTCTAAGTTGGGTCATATCCTAAATGTATACTCACTTTTATCCAAATCCATTTAGCTGTTTTTGAGAAACCTTTCTGACAAACACATGGATGAAGCACAACCTCTGTCACTTTCAGTGGCAGAGGTAATTACAAGTCCGATATGAAATTCAAAGTCTAACATCTCTGAAATAAATTCTTCCAGGAAAGTGATATTTATGGAAGTGGTCAGTTTATTACAGAAATATACCTTCCATAATACAGATATGATTTTAAGATTCTGGAAAAGCTATAAACTGTGTATTTTTAAGGAGCAGAACAAATTACTTGCAAGTGTAAATTATCTATATAAAAGGTCTCATTAGCTATGCATCTTGCTTGTACATCATATCATTTTAAGCTGTCATTTCTTATGCCCAGACTGTGCAGCAGAATATAAAAAAGTAAATACATTTACATTGAATCATTTATAATTATAGTTACACTACCTGAAAGTATAAAATCACAAATTATCCATTTTTCAAATGACTAGATCCCTTGGTGGGAGGAAGCTATAAAACATGGCTTTAATGTGGTTGATTTTCAATTTTGTTTCAGCATTCTGTTCTAATCTAATATTGATATAAATGTGTGTGTTTTTTTATGGTTTAATAAATTATTCGTCATAGACAATGAGAAAATAATCCTTCATGAACTAGAATTTCTTTGCAGGTCTCCTGAGATCTCACTTTATCTTAAGTCGAACAAAATAAAACTTGGTTCAGACAAATAATTTTTTTGAAAACTCTCTGAATGATAGTTCAACAACATCTAAAAATTGATTCAATTATATTCTGTATTGTTTTTCCATACTTACAAAAGTTGATGATAGTGATTTTGCACATGTTCAAGTGTTGTTTTTTGTTCTATGAAAAAGTACTTCATGGAAATACCCCTTGGCCAAAACAGATTAAATAATTTTTGATGACACTTCAAGATTTATTTTCAGATATATTCAGAAAGAATTGTACATATTTCATCTTTTCAGACCTCATAACAAATATTTATAATACTTCTAATGTTGCTATGTAATATAAAATCATCATTTATGTACCTCCTCCACTTCAAATAGTCACATCTTTCCTAAAAATGTTTTTAAGATGTTCAAATTTTACTGATTTCTTATAAATGTAACAATGCACAAGTAAACACACACATACACACAAAAAGTCAGCAAAATCTGTAAAGGTAAGACTTTATCCACTCAATTGAGTTGACATGGAATGAATCACTTTTATCTTTAGTTCAAAAGTTACAGTACCATGATAAATATTCCTGGTACTTAATTCATAAATTTCCACAGAAAAAAAAGATTTTAGCTGACCTCATTGTTTGATTTTGGTTCAAACAATAATCTCTACAGCCTTTACATTACTAATTCTGATTGTTTAAGAAGTTACAAATGAAAAATAGGATTTTTTATACAGATATCTTGAATAAAATGAACAATTAATTTGTCCTGAAAAGTTAATGAAGATGTTTTAAAAATACATGTCCACAAGCCCATAATTATTAGCCCGCCTGAACACAAAATTAAAAATGTTTACAAATCTAATGCACCAATTTCTACTGTGTATTATAATTAAAACTTTATGGGCTTACCATTGATGATACGTATGTAATTTAATTTGAAAATTGTTTTCTGAATTTTGTAAGAAATATTAAAATAAAACATTCAATTTCACATCCCAGATAAAAGTTTAGGAAATATGTGACAATCTCAGGCACATTTATCTCTCCAAAAATTATCATGTAGGTTCTGCAGAATAAGAGGAGCTTTGACAGCAAATATATTAATGGGGCAAATTTGAATTATATGATTTTAATTGATTGGTTCACAAAAACAATCAAAGAGTGTACTTTATGAAGGACATCCCCTTTACTGGAAAGAGCCCTCTGCATCTCTCTAGGACAAATGACTGTTAGTCATTCCTACAGAGAAATAATGAGGTTATATTTCCAAGTGGTTACCCAACCCTCCAATCAAAAAGATGACTGTACTTTCACCAAGTATGTTCAAATTTAAAGAAATATGTGACACCTCTGATGACTGACCTAAAAAAATAGCTAACCACAACAAAACAAACTTACTTGATTCCTTGACTGTTATTGTATGTTAAACTACATACACCTTCATAAATGAAAATTATATTAAACATGGAGGTAGAAAACACAATATGCCTGCACACCAAAAATACATATTTTAAGTCACATGTTTAAATTTCAAGTGGAGCCTTTAAGGGCAATATTCAACTAACTCATAATAAATTACAATAATTTTTCTTTTGTATTATCTCTAAGTTACAAAAACTTATGTAAATTCAGTTATTGTGAAAATAATTTTCTTACCAAACAAACCAATCAAATTTTTCATTGTAAAAAAACATATAGCTTTCAAATACTTAAAATATAACAATTTTAGAAAATTAACTCAAAATAATAAGAAATTATTCAAAATGCAAGAATTTGAGATTCAGACAAGGAGAAATAAAGAGTACAGTATCAAGCATGTATAATTTAAAAGCTTAAATTTGAATCTTAGTTTTCTCAAAGTAATGTACAGTTCTGGAAAAAGACCTTCAGGTAGTAACTTTACATAAAATTAACATTACATTAATTTTAAATTTCAAACCTATCAAACATTTTTAGAACTCTTTCAAAAATTTGAAAAGATAAGTTATCAATTTGAAAATGAAACTATCTTTAAATCTTTTGGAACAATTAGTTTTTACAAGATCTATAGTTAAAATAGGGAATTGATTTTGTTCCATGTGTAGAATGACTTTAAAACTGCTTAATGTCCTGTATGTTATGCTTGCACAACTTATACTTTTACAATCAGTTACTCAATTACATAACTACATGTATAGATGCAACTAGAGTATATATATATATATATATATACACAGAAAAATTGTAGGTAATGTTCCACCTTTACCACCTGTGGGATTATCATGCTGAAGCCCAAGTAAAACTGAATGGAAACATCTGCAGACACTAGGAATTTATACAATAAACTTAGTATATACAAGTACATGTAACTTGTGCTTATAAACATCACTGTACTTAATAATAAAAACCAACATATAGAATCTTAATGTTTATAATGATATTTAAAGGGATAACAGATACATTCATAATCCATATGTAAATCAATTTAAGAAGTTACAAATAGTAAGAAAATTTTCATAAGATAGTAAGATCTAAGATATTCATGCAACTGCTGAATTGTAAGTTCACTTTCAAAAGCTTTTTTTTTTTATTCCCAACAGATACAAGTTTGAAATATTGGGATTTAAAATGCACGTTCACTTGTATGTAACTTATTCCCTGCTTACATAATCTCATAGTAATGTGTTTGAACCTCTTTTTTGTATCATACTTGCAAATTTCTTTCCTTCCATTTCAACATCTAGTAACACAGCTACACAGACATATATATTGATGTACATGTAGGGATGAATGTGTATGTGTAGTATAGTACATGTATGTATAAACACATGTATATGTACAAACAGAAAGACATAACATCAAGCAGGTAACATGTCATTACACCTACACTGTACAGACCACAAATTGCACACCCAAACAAACAATGACACATAGTAAACTTAAGTGCATAAAGCAAGTTATTTTTAAAGAAAATATTATTGCAACTCATTGCCTATTTTCATAATATACTCTTTATGCAAAAAGTTGGCCAGGTGATGTAGTCCATCTACTGTACATCACCTTAAATTATTATCAAATGAAATATTTTTGAATTTATTGATTTCTGAAATATAAAGGTGTTAGTTGGAATACATATTTTGTTTTTCTTTGTTTCTGTTTGATATTTTAAAACCTTTAATTGTAATGATAAATACAATCACATAATAGTAAAATATATTACATAAATATTTGTAGAAAGAGAATCACTTAATGCAAAAACACAGCATACTATATTTCATCTTTTAATGCTGTAACATCACCCATATTATTTATTGTCACCATTTCTATCAAGACAATACATAGCTTAGAAGAAAAATCTGCATGTACAGTATAGATTACAGATACACAAGTACACTGTAT